TATTGCACGTATCCTCGGCCGGAGCACAAAAGTTGTGAGAGAAGTATGGCGCACATATAACGCTACAGCAGTCTTCGCTGTGGCTCCACCACCTTCCAACAAAAATTCGCATACAACTCGCATTGCTACGACATGAAAAATGATCTCGCTCGTCCAGTCCTTTGTTCGGGATAGCCGCTTGACAAGGACGCAGACAGTTGCAATAGACGTGTTAGTTTTACTAAAAAAAGCAACATTGGCGATATCGACCCCGACAATTCCCGCGCAATGGTGTCAGCATGTCGTACTGTGCGCCGATTTTTAGATCTATCAGTTTCGAACAAGGCAAAGTAAAAGGTCAACTGACGTTTGCGTTGGCGGCACAAAATGCAATGCTCCGTGATAAATACATTGCGAATATAGTGACAACCACTTTTTGCGAAAATCCACCGCATGTTGTGTATCTGGACGAGTCATATGTACAACACCACTACGCTCGTCATCAAGATAGTTTATACGATCCAAATGACGAACAAGCCTGCAATTAAAAGCAAAGCACAAGGGACAACGATAATGCTTATTGGAGCGATACTAAACGACGGAGTGGACAACTCAAAACTACTTGCCCTCGACATTTGTTTCCAAGGGGAAAATACTACGCAAAGAGCCCAAAGACTACCACGCCATGTTGAACCATGCATATTTCGTCGACTGGTTTGGCACGTTACTCGACCAATTGGAAGCCCTGGAGAAAAGGAACGTCGCTATCTCTATGGACAACGCAAAATACCATAAATGCCTACCCGACGGCACTGCAAAGTATGCCTGGGCTAAGTCACGTCTGCGCGATAGTTGCGACCGCTATGCCATCCCCTACAACGCGGACGAAGTAAAAAAATTGCCCAATGGGAAAAACTTTCCAAGCACATCGAGAGCAACATCGTACCTGTTGTGGTGGTCATGGCCGAGTCGCGAGGGCATTCTGTTGTGTACACGCCACCATATCATTCGGTACAGGAGCGGTTGAAGACTGCCTTCGATAGCCTCACGTCTACAACATTCCATGGGTGTATTGCAGCATCAAAATGGCGACTCACCGAGTTGAGGGACTACCTAGGTCTTCAGGGCGCTGCAGATGAAGAAAATGTGGCGATGGACGAGCAAGTGCTACCAGACATCAGCCATGCATCATGCGACGATGACCATACGTGCGATCATCGATTGAGCAGCAGCGACTCGTCCAGCAGCGACATAGACGACGCCTGTGGTCCTTGGCATCTGAAGAAAAATAAACTGACTGCGTATAGAGTTTTATACCTCTTTGCGTTGCATAATACTTTCAGTAAGAATTTTCGGAGGTTCCGTCTTTTGTGATTAGATGTCACCTCACATACATCCCTGTGAAAGGTAATTGAATTAGTAAACGACCCCTGGAAGCTGCCCACGACTGTAAATTCCATTAAATTCTAGAAATACAGTACCCAGATTATGTATTTGCTGGAGGTATACGCACTTGGCGGTATCAAATTCAAGTCGTACAGTGAGCGACGGAAAAATGTCCTAGTGGTAACTTCGTCATATTACTATAGTCCAAGCATTCAATCTGCAAGCAGAAATTGTGGGTTTTTTAGCCAATGGGTGACAAATGATTTTTCAAATTAGTACTACCTCTGTTTGCAATTATTGCAAGCGAACATTCGGTAGTATACAAATTCATAGTATATTGAATCTAAATGTTATGAAAACGGCAGTCATTCGATTCTCACACTGTCAATGTCATTAAGAGGTTTGCTTCATCTGTCTGTCCTCTTCCTCTAGTCAAACAATCATTAACGACAAGGCCAATTCAACTTCATCCGTTCCAGCACTTCGGGGGATCTTGTACCGATTGCAACCCTAGGATTCGATAACAACCAGCATAATCCGGCGCAAGGTCATAAACGTTTTTTCCAACGTCTCCGAAGGCAACAACGAAAATGCGGTCTTCACTGCAGAACCAGGTCTTCCATGCTGCGGCATTCCATCGTTTGTTGCAGTGATTGAATTGAGTTGAAAAATGCAAGATCTCTATGTTCGAGATCTGGTGACTTGGGTGGTTGGCACGCAATCCGAATACTCCAACAACCTTGTTGGGCGGTAGCAGCAATGTGCGGGCGAGCATTGTCTTGTTGTATGACTATGTCGCCAGTAAATCCAGGTGACGGCCATTTCCACTTCGTCTTGATGGCTGGTAAAACTTTGTCAACCAGGACTTGTCGATAGGCATCCTTTGTCACCGTAACACTCTTCAAAATCTCGGTGCCCGCTGGTCGATTGCAACTTGGGCATGCGGCTGTTGAACGTTCCACCAACTCCCAGCAGCCAATTTTACCGTCCCAGCCATCCCGAGGGCGAGGAACGACAACTAGAAACATTAATTGGTAATGTGCGTCTTGGATTGCAGATTTCGTGGGACAACAGTTTCATCATTCCACAGCATAAATCGACGGCGAAGTTTGGTCATGTAATACCATTTCTCATCTGCATGAAACACATTGTACAAATCGCTCATGTTACCGCTTAGGGTTTGTTGGTGCTTGC